TGGAAATAACCACAGGGAGGAAGTGGGATAACTGTTATTACATGGAGGAAATTGCAGTTATTAAGATGAAATAAAGCATATGATTTATTGAATATAAAATTGATGATCTTCTGTAAACCTTCACTCAATTTAAAATAAAAAGTTTCTAAAAAAAGGTATACACAAATCAAATAGACTACTACATCTGTGGAAAGAGAAGGTAGAAAAGCTCCATATCATCAGCCAAAACAAGGCCAGGGGCAGATTGTAGAACAGACCATCAATTGTTCATATGCAAATTCAGACTGAAGCTGAAGAAAATAAAAATAATAAGTTCATTAGAGCCAAATTATGACCTTGAATATATCCCACCTGAATTTAGAGATCATCTGAAGAACAGATTTGATACATTAAACCCTAAAGACCGGAGACCAGAAGAGTTGTGGGATGACATCAAGAACATTATACAAGTAGAAAGCAAAAAGTCATTAAGACAAGAAAGAGGGGGAAGTTCAAAATCGATGTCAGAAGAGACACTGAAACTGACTCTCCAGCGTAGAGATGCTAAAGAAAATGGAAGAAATGAAGCTGAACAGAAAATTTCAAAGGTCAGCTCGAGAAGACAAAGTCAAATATTACAACAAAATGTGCAAAGATCTGGAGTCAGAAAACCAAAAGGGAAGAACATGCTCAGCATTTCTAAAGCTGGGGGAAGTGAAGAAAAAATTCAAGTTTCGACTTTCGTTATTGAAGGATTCTCTGGACAAATTATTGAATGATGCAGAAAGCATCAAAAGAAGGTGGAAGGAATACACAGAATCTGTATCAAAAGGAAATAGTTGATGTTCAACCATTTCAAGAGGTAGCATATGATTAAGAGCCAATGATACTGAAGGAAGAAGTCCAAGGTGCATTGAAGGAATTGGCAAAGAACAAGGCACCAGGAATTGATGGAATAAAAATTGAAATCTTTCAAGAAAGATGGCACAGGAGGCACTCAATCACATCTGCCAAGAAATTTGGAAGACAACTACCTGGCCAACTGACTGGAAGAGCTTCTATTTGTGCCCATTCCAAAGAAAGGTGCCCCAACAGAATGCAGAAATCATCAGACAATATCTTTGATATCCCATGCAATTAAAGTTTTGTTAAATGTAATACAGAAACGGCTGCAAGCATACATTGACAGAACTTCTGAGGTTCAAGCTGGCGTGGAATGAGGGATATTATTGCTGATGTCCGATGGATCTTGGCTGAAAGCAGAGAATACCAGAAAGATGTTTACCTGCGCTTTATTGACTTTTGATTGTGTGGATTGTTACAAGCTATGGACAACATTGCGAAGTATGAGTATTCCAGAACACCTAATTGTGTTCATGTGGAATCTGTACATGGACCAAGATGCAGTTCAAACATAACATGGGAACACTGAATGGTTTAAAATCAAGGAAGGTGTGCGACAGGGTTTTATTCTTTCACCATACTTATTCAACCTGTATGCTGAGCAGATAATCCGAGAAGCTGAGTTATATGAAGAAAAACGTGGCATCAAGATTGGAGGAAGACTCATTAATAACCTGCAATATGCAGATGATACAACCCTGCTTGCTAAAAGTGAAGAGGATATAAAATATTTACTGATGAAGATCAAAGACCACACCCTTTGTTAAGGATTGCATCTCAATATAAAAACAAGATCCTTACCACTGGACCAATAAACAACATTCTTAACAGAGAAAAGATTAAAGTTGTCAAGGATTTCATTCTTCTTTGATCAACCATCAATATACACGGAAGCAGCAGTCAAGAAATCAAATGATGTATTGCATTAGGCAAATCTACTGCACAAGGCCTTTTTAAAAGTGTTGAAGAGCAAAGATGTCAGCTTGAGGACTAAAGTGCTCCTGACCCAAGCCATGGTATTTTCAATAACTTCATATGCATGCAAAAGCTGGACAGTGAACAAGGAAGACCACAGAAGAATTGATGGTTTTGAGTTATGGTGTTGGAGGAGAATATTGAAAATACCATGGGCTGCCAAAAGAACAAACAGATTTGTGTTGGAAGAAGTGCAGCTAGAGTTCTCCTTGGAGGCCAAGATGGCCAAATTTTGTCTCTCATACTTTGGATATATTGTCAGGAGGGACCAGTTGCTGGAGAAGTATATCATGTTTGGTAAGGTGGAGGGTCAGAGAAAAAGAGGATGACCCCCAGCGAGATGGATTGGCATAGTGGCAGCATCAATGGGCATGGCAACAATTGTGTGTTTAGTCCAGGACCAGGCAGTGTTTAGTTCTGTTGTGCACAGGGTCACTATGAGTCAGTACCAACTCGATGGCATTTAACAACAATAACAACAACAAAGACATAATGCTCAAAGCAGACCATTTTTACTAGTTAAACAAAACTATGGTTTGACTTTAAAAAGACTTCAGGTAATATTATTGGTTTAAGGTTTAAAGATTACCTGGGGTAATAGTTTTTGAGTTTCTTCCAGCCTCCATGACTTCAGAAAGTCTGAATTGCATGATAATTTAAAATCTATTCTGCATTTTCCTCCTTTTGATCAGGTTTCTTCTTCTAGAATCTTTGATCAGAATGTTCACAATGGTATCTGGGCATCACCCAGTTCTTCTGGTCTCATGGAGGCAATTAAGCACACATCCATTTCCTTCCTCCTCCTGTTCTTGATTTTCCTTTTTTTTTCTGTTGCTCCAAGTTGAATAGAAACCAACTGCTATGTCTTGCATAGTCACTTGCAAGTTTGTTAAGACTCCAGGCACTGTGTAAGGAACTAGGAGATAAATCAAAAGCACTAAATAGGCCAGTTAATTGCCATGGCCCTTGAAACCATGACTCTAAATCTCCAAACCAAGGAATGAAATCCCTCCTCTGAGGTGTTTGGTTATATTATAAGCAGCCTCTTCTGTTACTCTTTAGTTATTCTTGTAACTTTTACACAACTTTTGTCAATTCAACTTTTTGCAGATTGTCTTAGTGCTGCTATAACAGAAGTGCAAGTGGATGATTTGAACAAAAAGAAATTTATTCTCTGTTTAAAAGATTTGAAGTCCAAATTCAGGGCAGCAGCTTTAGGGGCAGTCTTTCTTTCTCTGTTAACTCTGGGGGCTCTGCTACTGGCTCTTCTTTCTTGGTGGTACTGAGGTCCCTCCTTCTCTCTCCTTTTATCTCTTATAATATAAAAAGTGATACAGGCCACACATCAGGGAAACTCCCCTTACATCATTCTGAATAAGGTTGTTCCATCCTATCCTAATCCCCTTACAATTAATTGACTGATCATATCAGGCATGTCACGGCTTGGATTACATCATTACATAACTGGTAAACCACTGAGAATCTTGACTCATTTTTGAGGGACACAATTCAATCCATTGCACGATGTATGGCTAATTGATGGCACTTACAATAATGGGTTGTGTAGCCCTGCTCTTAATTAATGTGATTTTTCCATCACTGTAAACCAAAAGTATTCCATGAGCAATAGCTCCCCTTCTTCTTGCGTCCCTGGTAACCACTAATAAACTTTTGTCTGTGTGCATGTGAAAATTCCATTCCTCTATGTGAATCAATCACCTTGCAGAAAGCAATTTGGCCTTTGTTCTCTGTTCTGTCTAGCTGGACCCACACCTGAAGCTATTGAATGGGGGCTTATCAGACCAAGAGGGACCACTTGGGGGCGTGATGTTAAGACAGGAGGCATGATGTAATCTGTCATGGCCACATGATGAGGCTGATAAGAATCCTGAGCCATAAGGCTCAGGTGGAGCTTCCTGGTTGGTGACCATGCACAGGAGAGGGTAGTAGTCATCAGACCAAGAGAGACCACCTGTGGACCTGATGCTGTGACTCAGGAGACATGATAAAATGTATCATGGCCACATGGTGAGGATCATACTAACCTTGAGCCTTAAGCTCAGATGGAGCTTCCTGGCTGGTGACCATGCTCAGGAGATGGTAGCGTATTCCCTATGTGTCTCTTCCTTTGTATTCTTTTTTGTAATAAAACTGTAGCTGTAAGTATAATGTACTGTCCAGGAATTTTGTGATTCCACCAAATTAATGGACCCATAGGATCAATGAGAGCCAGTTTGGCTTCAAGAAGAGTGTCCTTCAGTGAGCTCTGACCTAGTTTTGGGTGGCTGGGGCTGAGACTAGAGGGTTCTGAATGTGTGGCTGATGATGAGACTGGAGAATTGGGAAGGTGAGGATCAGATTCATATCTACACTCTGGCAATTGTATTCATGCAGATCCTTACTATACATTTAGCAATGAAGGTGGGAGTTGCCTACTGTGTTCCTTGCTTACTGAAGATGGTGTGAGGGGGAGGTAGGCTATTGCTAAGTCCAGTGTCCAGAACAAGTGGGAGTCAGCTGTACCTACCTAGGTCTGCACAAAGCCTTTCTCCTATTCTCCCAGCATTTCACTGGAGCACACTCACCTGCCTACCCTGGGTGGGTGAGGGGATGGTACATAGCAGGCATGGTACATGCTTAGGCCCTGAGGCAGTGTTCTTCTGTCTGGTTCTGTTGTGTACTGTGCTCACCATTTCATTTGACCTGTTGTGTTGGATAGGTGGCTGGAGCTAGACCAGTGGAACTGGGGTGATGGGTGCCTGTGATTGAGACTGTCTTTTATAGTCAGGTGTGATGTTTATGGCAGGACCAGGAGCAGCTCATCCATGTCCCAGCTGGGCCCTTGGCCCTTATTGGGGTTCTAGATGAATATTATTCTGAGGTTGAATGACATCATGGAACAGGAAATAATACCTTGGCAGCCTCCCAGGGTCTTTGAGTATTGGGGTGGGGGATCCTCATTTGGATGTGATTCCTCTGATCTGTGTTTTATAAACTTTTGTTCCTTTTTGGTCTCCTCTATAAACAATTGATCAAACATCTGGGAATGGGAGAGGGGTATGGCTCAGGACACAGGAGAGAATTGGGGCCGACCAAGCCAAGTGTTACTTCTGGGTCACCAACTCACTGTCCTATCCTGACAGGCTGATTTACAATGAGACGTCAAGGACCACCCGGTTCCCTGATGGTGTGGATGTGCGTGTCCCTGGCTTTGGGCAGACCTTCTCACTGGAGTTCCTGGACCCCCACAGAATCACTGTGGGTATGTAGCCCTCACTTCTGCCCTCCAGGGCACAGGGCTGGGGTTCTTCTGGACTGCTGATGTGGGAAGAACTCTGCCAGCTTGAGGGGGCCAGCCTGTGAACTGCCACTGACTTGGGTGGGGCACAGTGCTCTGGATCACTCCTCTAGTGACCTCCCTGCAGCAGATGGCACAGTCTCGTTGGCAGATGTGTGGATGACTGGTGCTGCCTGCCACCTGTCTAATCTTTTGCATTTATTACCATAGGTTCCTATTTCCATACCATAGTAGAGAGCCTTGTGGGCTGGGGTTACACACGGGGTGAGGACGTCCGGGGAGCCCCCTATGACTGGCGTCGAGCTCCAAGTAAGCAACTGTTCTCCTCCCCTCCCTGATGTCTTGGAAGGTGAGACAAGGAAGTCAAAGTTACCGTAGGCTCTTCCCCTCAGGCTTCTGGCATCCAGCCCACAGTAGCTGTTCCTCCTAATGTCTTGGACAGTGGGATGGGGGCATGGGAGGTCACAGTCATCACCCCGATCAGATCTTGTCTATGTCCTTCCTCGTCCCTCACCCCAGGACCTCTGGTCCACTGAGCCCTGGGGAGCAACAAGCATGAGGAGGAGGAGGAATGGAGGCTATTTGTTTCCTCCCTTCATGGAAACCTGAGAAAACCTCTATTCTTTCCATCTCCTCATTCTGAGTGTGACCTGAGACCCAATTAGTGGTTTGGGCCCCCGGAACCTTTCCTGCCTGACTCCTGCTTTGCTCTGACTTACAGATGAAAATGGGCCCTACTTCGAGGCCCTTCGCAAGATGATCGAAGAGATGTCCCAGCTGTACGGAGGCCGTGTGGTGCTGGTTGCCCACAGCATGGGCAACATGTACATGCTCTACTTTCTGCAGCAGCAGCCACAGGCCTGGAAGGACAAGTATGTCCGTGCCTTTGTGTCACTGGGTGCGCCCTGGGGGGGCGTGGCCAAGACCCTGCGTGTCTTGGCCTCAGGTAAGACCCTGCCTGGCCCAATGTGGGGTTCTGGTACTGGGGGTGACACCCTCTCTTTCCCTCCACTGTGCTCTTGGAATACTGTCTTATCTCTTCTCTTGGGTCAGCACCCCTCTCTCTCCAGAATGATACTCATAGAAGAGAAGACTCTAAAGTCACAGCTGATTCTACCTTCTCTAGACAATAGTCCTGGCAAGTTTCATATAGCAAGTATAGGGAGTAAACCTAACTGTTGGCCACCCACACCCATACTCACACTGCTGAGACCTGACTGACCTAACTCAGTTTGACCCAAAGTTCTTTGGGGAAGCCTTTTCTTACCCCCATTCTTACCCCCATTCTCACTTCTTCATCTCCGTCCTTCTCCAGAGCAGAAGGAGAACTGTAGTTTCCTGCTCTGAGTTGCACCGCCATCTGTGGGGTGCGGGGAGCCTCTGTAGACAAAAGCAGGGAGGAAGCCAGTGCAGACCCATTGGGCCTGCTTGCCTGGCAATTTGGAAAACCACTTCCTTTGCCCACATAGCCCTCTGCAATCAACCTGCTAGCTATAGCTGTTGGTACTCTAGATGGGGCTAGGACTGGATGGCTGCCCCATTGTCTTTCACTGGGGGAGTGGTGAGCCAGGGCTGGGTCTGATAAGCTGCTTCCTTAAGTCACCTAGATGACATTGCTAAGACTATCGTATTGGTTAGTTAGTTAGTGGATGGTGTGGTTGGGCCAGGCCTGGTGTGTCTCCTAGCACTTACCTTGGGTTGATAATGAACCTAGGGCTCAGAGCCTCACAGGTGGAGTGAGGGCTTATCCCAGCCTTGTCTGTCCAGCCTGCACATGGAGGGACAGATGCAGGTACCACTTGAGTCTGAGATGGGACCATGGGGGAGTTCAGATGTCAGGCCCTGGAAATCAGGGAGCAGGGATGACCCGTGGGCCCCTTTTGTTGTTAAGTGCTGTTGAGTCAGTTCCGCTCTTAGTGACCTTGTATAGGGTTTTCGAGGAGTGGCTGGTGAACTTGAACCACCACCTTTGCGGTTCAAACTGACCTTGCAGTCCAGCACATTAACCTGCGGCACCAGGTTAGAAGACACCAGGACTTCTAGGGACATTTTTTTCCTAGGGGTTCTAGAGCTAGGTAGCCAGGCAGAACCGAGGTCCTAGAGTCAGTCAGGGAAGCCTCTCTGCGTTAAGTGATGTGTCACTGTGGGTCCTGAACAGATAAAAAGACTGTGCTTCCAAGTGATTCTTACAGATCCCATACATAAGAACCACATGGAGATCTTGTTCAAAGGAATACAATGATTCAGTCGGTCTGTGGTGGAAATGTAGACTCTCACTTGAGCCAAAATGAACAGCCTTGAAACTTCCCTCAGAGTTGTTTACAGATGAGGGTGTGTGTTGCCTAATCCCTGGTGACTAAATGCAAAAGGAAAGAAACAAACCATGCTTGTGTGTTTTCCTGATGTAGCAAAAGGAAAAGCGAAGCAGTAAATGCGATGCAAGGATGGTTATTATCACATGCTGTGGATATCACATGCTTGACAGAGTTACTGGCTGGATCTGGCAGGGGGCCTGGTGGTAAGCATGTTTGCAGCCAGCTTGCATTCCTGAGTAGAGACTGACCAGAAACTTCTCCCTGCAGGAGACAACAACCGGATCCCAGTGATTAAGTCGCTAAGGATCAGGGAGCAGCAGCGGTCTGCTGTCTCCACCAGCTGGCTGTTGCCTTACAATTATAGCTGGTCACCTGAGAAGGTGTTTGTACGCACACCCACCACCAACTACACTCTACAGGACTATCACCAGTTCTTCCAGGACATTGGCTTTGAGGATGGCTGGCTCATGCGGCAGGACACGGAGGGGCTGGTTGATGCCACAGTGCCACCTGGTGTCCAAATGCACTGCCTCTATGGCACTGGGGTCTCCACACCAGACTCCTTCTACTATGAGAGCTTCTCTGACCATGACCCTAAAATCTCCTTTGGTGATGGTGATGGCACTGTGAACCTGCAGAGTGTGCTGCAGTGCCAGGCCTGGCGTGGCCGCCAGAAGCAGCAAGTGTCGCTGCTGGAGCTGCCAGGGAGCGAGCACATTGAGATGCTGAGCAACACCGCCACCTTGGCCTATCTGAAGCGCCTGCTCCTTGGGCCCTGATTCCTGTGCCAGCAAGGCTGTTGGGTGACTTGGCCATAGCCTCTTCTCTTGACCTCTGGGGCTATGTTTGTCACCAACTCTCTAAGGTCCTAAGTATCTGCCGCAGGGAAGTGCTTCTTAATCTCCTTGTGTGGGAGTGAAAGAGGAAGAACTCAGGTCTGAATTTTGATAAAAAAAGGACACTGTTACTGGTGGAGCTGCTGTGGCCTCCGGACTGCTGCCTCCATGGGGCGGACTGCTTGGCACACGGTCCTAGTCCCCTGCTTCAGGCCTGTGTCCTCCTCGTACCCTATGGCCTCATCATACTTACCCACTAGGCCCTGGCCTCTCAGCTTTCTTGTGACGGGTGTCGCAGAGCTGCGGTCCCTGCCCCCAAGAGTCCAGGAGTGGGGTTCTGATCCTAAAGGTGATACCACCCATATACTGGCCTAAGCCTCAGGCCCATGTGAGCCTACCACTGACCATGGGTGACTGGAACTGCTGGCCCCTGAGGCCTAGCCTCTCAGCAGTCTGGGGGCTTCTTGGGGTCAGCCAGTCCCCCCTGCAGACTGGGGTAGATTGTTGTGTTCTCCACAGTTCCCAGGCCCCTTAGCATTCATTCCAAACTCCTTACCTCCAGGAGAAGCCTTGCCAACTCTGACTTGGGAGCTCAGTCGGGGGCAGCAGATGGCCCCCAGTCCTGGGGACTATGTCTCAGGACCCTTGATTCTCTCAGTTGGGCTGTTGGCCCAAGTATTGATGCTGACTTTCTTTGTCAGGACTGTGTATGGTCCATGGATAGAGCAGGGCCCAGTGTCATGACCTAGGTGCCTGTGGAGAAACAGAGCTCAGGGAAACAGCAAAGGCTGCCCAGAGTTTCTTTAAACTGCCCTTTCAGTAACTCACCGCCACACTGCCACCTTGCCCAAGGGTCTCCCCAGCATCGAAATGGGCTGACTCAGGGTGAGAGGAGAGGAGCTCCTGTCCACCCTGCCAAACACCAGGCAGCTGAGTGCTCTTCAGTCTACAGGGCCTAGGCCAGAAACTTGAGGGCACTGGTAGGCTGCCCCCTTGGACAGCCAGGTGCCTTATGGGTTCTCCTGGAGGTCTTCTCTCTGCTCCAGAGGTGCTGTGACAGCCTTCCCATGATAGCAGGAAATGGAAGATCTGAGTAGCAGAGGGCTCCAAGAGAGTGACTGGCTAGCTATATGCCAAGATTTTGGGTTCAGCTTTATAGGTGGGGCCTATAAACCACATTCAGAGACTGTCAGACCAGATTCTGCTGCTCTTCCTTAAGGCCTGCGGAGCTGGGCTTTCTCTGTTGCACACATTCCCAATGCTTTGTCTCTTTGTTCCTGAGTGGTGGGCCCTGGATGGGGCTCCATTCCAGCAATAAAATTCTGGTTGCTGTCAGGTATTGGCCTGGGCTCTGCTCTGAGGTTGAAGGAGGGAGGTGGCACAGGAGGCTGGAGGCCTGGGGAGGAAGGTAGTCTGGACTCTGGGGCTTTGCTGGGTTTTCAGCACTGAGGTGAGCCCTCTGGGTCCTCTTTGGATTCATCCTCCTGACCCTGAGAGCTACCCCCTTTCCTGCAGTCCACTTACTCTCCCAAGACTCAGAACTGGATCCTTTGCTACAGGAATGTAGCTTCTGCCCTCCCTCTGTCCTTTCCTGGTCAGCAGGTCACTCTGGGTGTACTTCCTTTCTTAGCTTGCTGTCTTCCTACAGCTTGCAGTTACAATTTTTTGAACCTAAAATTCTTTTAGAACACCACCCCTTTCCTTTGCTTTTTCAGGCTCATTTGCCTACCATCTCTGTCTTTGGGACTGAGAGACTGAGAAGGCAGAGAAAGCCAGATTGACAAAGAAAGGGACAGAGATAGTAACCGAGATTGGGGCCTATATGAAGATGGGCAGAGATTTGGACAAGGGCAGAAGAACAGAGATAGCACTTGAAATACAGAGAGATATGTAGGAATGGGCTCAAATTTAAATATCATGGGTCAGAGCCCAGGGCCTGTGCAGCCCAGGGTGGTAGGAGTCACAGTTCCTATCAAGCACCCACAGATTCTTGTCAGTTTAGGTTATAGCCTTCAATACACCTCGGCCACAAGAGGGCGCTCGGAACCCTCTCACTGCACAAGTTTAAATCAACCTTAAGAGAGAAGGGTTTTTATAGAAAAGGCACCTCTCAGGATACAGAGACCCAGCTGCAGCACTGGCCTTAGTTACATGAAAGCGAGCAAACCTCACCTCCAGACTCTTCTCAGTCTTGCTCTACCCTACTACCCACTCACTCATGCCACTCCTGTGGTGGCCCTATAGTCACTCCACTTAGTTATGATCCATTTCAGTAACTCCCATCACCCTTGGTTTTCACAGATGGCAGAGAGAGGGTGTAGAATATGAGCATGATTTCAGGATCAGCTGACCTGTGTTCAAATCCTGGCTCTACCAGCCCCAGCCAATTAGTCCAGGGTTTCTCCTGACCTTGAGCCTGTTTCCTCATCTGAAGAATGTGCTATTGAGTCGGTTCCAACTCAGTGACTGAGAGCAGCTGATGGGTTTGAACTACCGATCTTGTGGCTGGCAATTTAGTGCTTATGCCCACAGCGGTGCACCAGGGTTCAATGAAGATGACTAAATGTGCCCTGCTGGGTGGTCCTCAGGAACACTGATGGTGACGGAGCCTGCCTCAGTGCTTGGTGCACAGTGGACTTGCAGCTTCCAGAGGTGGGCAGTGGAGTTGGAGGTCTGGGAATTGTCAGGTCCTATATGCAGCTATTGCAAGGAGAAGTGGATTGTCTGCCATTGAGTGACACAAAAGTGCCCAGAGCTGTGCCTCTGCCCAGCCAGGGAGGCAGGAGGAAACATGGAGGAGGCAGAGTCAGACTCTTAATGAAGCCAAATGCATCCACACATTCGTTCACACCTAGGGAAGGTGTTCCAGGAAAAGGGCACAATGAGGCAGCACCAGGTAAGGCTTCCTAAGGGTTCTGGTCATCATCTAAGAGGTGAGGGGACTATAAGGGCTTAGATAAGGGAGAGACACAATCATTTCAGTTTATTCTAGAAAGATTCCCCTACAGTGGATGTGTTGGAGGGAGTAGGATGAGGGGTGGGGAGTTACTGGGGTGGGGGGGACAGATTGTGGCAGTGTTTAGGTATGGCCAACACCCATTAACTTCATCTACCCTGATTCATGGAGTCCTGGTGTGACACTGTGTGTTAATGCGCCAGGCTGCAAAGCCATTTGAACTGCAAGGTTGGCGGTTCAAGCTCACTAGCTGCTCCTTGGAAACCCTATACAGGGTCGCTATGGGTTGGAACCGACTCAATGGCACTTAACAACAACAACAAACGCTGACTCATGGAGTCCTAGTGTGGTGCTGAGGGATAAGCACTCAATCACAAGGTCAGTTTGAACCTCAAGGTGGATGGTCAAACTCACCAGCTGCTCAGCAACCCTATACAAGGTTGCTATGAGTCAGAAATGACTCGTAGGCACACAACAACAAAAACAATCCTGACTCAGTGACTGTATAAGACAGTGAAGAACTGTCCCATAGGGTTTCCAAGGCTGTTCCTTTACGGAAGCGGACTACCTGTAGAGCGGCTGGTGCATTCAAACATCTGGCCTTTCAGGTAACAGCCAAGCTCTTAACCACGGTGTCATGGTGTCACCAGGGCTCCTAAATCATGGGTTACAGGGTCTGGAGAAGGGAGGAGGAAATGGTACAGAGGGCTGCCATCTCTGATTGGGTCACTGGGTGATGGGGAATCCGGGCTTTGGGTGAGTCAGGAACCAGAGGATATAGAGTTGTAAACATCTTTAGGGGAAATGACAGTGACCAGGAGATGGTTGGCACCTGATGTGTGTGGACAGGAAACTAAGGGGCAGGGAGGACTCCGCTGCCCAGGTCAACAGTTCCTGGCAGAGCCCCCCAGAGCTATCAGAAAAGGAACTCTAGAATGATCCGGTGAAAGAGGAGGAGAACAAGAAGGTACTCCTCCTCCAAGAGGGTGTCATCAGGTCCGGGAAGATGAGGATTGAAACATGTCCCCAGCCTTGAGCCTCAGTAGACCTGAATTTGGCTATGGGAGCCTTGCCTATCTGTCTGTGAAGGCCTGAGTTGTGTGTGTCTGTAGAGGATGCCTGGGCCCAGAGTCAGCTGTGATCTACGTGTGGAAACAGTTTAGCACGCAATCTGTGAAATAGATGGGTATCCTTGAATGAGGGATTCAGGCTAGGGACCAGACAGGAACTGGGGCTGTTTAGCGCGCCCACGTGAGCGTCGCCATAGGGCTCCATGTAGGGCTGGAGAATGGCAGTCACATCGGGCGAGGGTGGCTGGGCCTACGGTGCGACTGCGGGGGACCTCGGGTGGCCATGCTGGGGGCTCACGAGCGGCTGCACGCATAGGCTGGGACCACTCATGGGGGGCGCTGGAGCGCGGGCCGCGTTGGCCATCGGGGCCGGAAGCGCCACCAACCCCGACCAGCGCGGGGACGGCGCTTTGTCCCGACGCTACGCTCTCAGTCGCGATCCGGCGGTGGTGACGTGGCGGTGACGGGGCGGAGCTTTAGCGGCGGGAGCGGCAGCAGAAGCACGACGGAGCATCCAGGCGGCGCCGGGCCACGGGAAGGTAACGGGCCGGCTCCTATCGGGCGGGCTTTCGGCGCTGCGGCAGCGTGTGGGCGGCGGGCCGGGACGCGTGAGCTAGTGAACGAGGGGCTGTGAGTGTGAGCGAGACCCTGAGCCAGGCAGTGACGTCGGGAGAGCGCGACTCCCAGGGTGTGAGGGAGACGTGTGTGTAGCGGGGAGAGAGACCGAGACCCCAGGCATGCGGTGCCCGAGTGGGAGCCCTCGTGTGAGGGGCGTGCTGTGGGTATGAGAGGCTTAGGCCAGGGGTGTGTGAGAAACCCTGAACTGGAACAAGGTGTGTGTGTGTGTGTGTGTATGAGAGAGAGAGCGAGCGAGCGAGCAAGAGATCCTGGGTGTGGGGGGGTGACTGTCTGAGGGAGAAAAGAGTCCCATACTGGGAAGGTGATGCTGCGTGTAAAGGGTATACGCTGGGTGGGAGGGTAA